GTAGTTGTTGAGGTGGTAGTTGTTGAGGTGGTAGTTGTCGAGGTGGTAGTTATTGTAGGACATCCCCCGCAGCCATTGTGAGAAGTACTACCGTCAAAACACTTGCACCACGATGGCCCTGGTTCTCTTCTCCGACGACTGGTAATAAAGTTAGAACACATGCACGGCGGTAGCCCTACTTCTCTTCTTCTGCGACGACTAGGATAATTTTCAGGGTTTAACGAAAACCCCGAAATAACAGCTTTAATGAATTGATTCGGAAATTGTTGTTCTAAGTATTTATTTAATGCATCCACCAAGTCCAATAGTGTTGCTGTCGTATTATAATAATGCTGCTGTTCATATGATTGAATTATACGATTAAATGCAAGTGTTGATGTTGATCCCACTATTGTAATTTGACTGAAGGGATTTGCTCCAGATTGAGCTGGTAGTTTTGATACGACAACACCCACTGCAATAGTAGATGCAATCACCGAAACTCCAACAGTACTCGTAGCTATATTGATAGCAACGCGAAGAAATAATGCTGGAGAATGAATTAGCATGAAAAGTCCAGGCATTTTGTATTTTTTAAGGCAAATATCTAAAAAAAATTTGTATCTTTACTCTCCAAATAAATACGTATTTATAATATGTATTAACTGAAATCACTACTGCACTAAGTAAAATATACAGTTTAAGTATATGATTTTAGATACGATTCGTCGTCGTAATAAAGGAAGTAGTGTGGTATATGAATGTAAATAAATATATGTGTGAATCAACCTTTTTGGTTAATCGAAGAAAGAGAAAAAGCATTAAGTAAAACAAGTAAATGAAGTCTGCAACGTGAATAGACATACATTATTATTTATTTTCGATCAACCGAAGCTGACATGTAATTTTTTTTTTGAATATCCGATGATGATAAATCAACATGATACGTCTGTGAAGCATAACGATTGGATAAAAGTATATAGTGATAATATTTGAAAAAAAAATAGTTTCGGTAATTAACGAGACAACACGTCTCACTTGTTTTTTTCTTTTGATGGTAAAATACAAAAATATGTACTCACAATTGACCTATGTCGTAGTTTATTTTATTGTATTTATTTTATTAAATATTTTAGTATAACATATTTACATATCATTGATTTATTTATGTAACGAAAAGCACACAAGAAAAAAGACTTCCGATATTGTTTTTAAGGAGCAAATATATCATGTGCTTGTTCAATAATAATTTCAAGTAAACGTTGAATAGATTTCGAATTTTTTAATCCAATCATTGGATCGGGATTTTCTGAACGCATAATTGTTGGTGCAAAGACTATAGATAAATTTTCAATTGTCATTTGATTACGAGTTGAATGATTAGAGACATTTTTAAGATGTTCAGATAAATATCTTAATGTATGAAAATGAGCTGGTGGTAAACGACGAATTATAGGACGAATTGTTGTAACACATAAAGCTGATTGACGTAATTCAAGTAATTGTGTATGAATATCAAAAGTAACAAGTGGAATTGGTAATTGTCGTAAATATAATTTTAAAAGACAAGCTATTGCATGAATATCAGGATATCGTTCTTGAGATAAATCAACATGATCACAATCACGTTCAAATGCTAATTTGATTTCTTCAACTGTATCAGAAAATCCAGCAATTCGATATAAACCTTCTGTATCAAGTGCATGTGGACGTGATTCTATTTCATTTATACATTTTTCAAGTACAATTGGTGTTAATGAAGCAGCTGATAATGCTGGTGTTGTTGCTTTAATTAAAGTTGTTAAATCAACACCAAAAATTGATTTAAGATATTTCATTTGTGGAACCTAAATAAAAAATCATAATATTCTGATGTATATATTATTTTACTTACACAATCTTGTGGTACTTTTTCTGAACAACGTTTATGTGCTTCGAAACCACAATCAGCACATTTAACACCTTGTTGTACAAGACCCCAAAGAAAATTTGCACAATAATCACACCAATGTGGTCCTTTAAATGAATATGTTTTAAAATTATGTGCTTTTTCAGCTTGCATTATAAGAATTCGATCAAAAAATAATGGATTTGATGTTGGTAATTTTTGATTAGGATTCGTTGTAGTTGAATTAATTATTGATGATGAACGTTGTTGTATACTTGATGTATTTCTTGTTAATGGTGAAAGATAATTTAATGTCATTTGATCAGTTTGTAGTTG